GAACATCTTGATTAGTTAAAAAAAAAAAAAATTAGAAACGAAAAATAATTAATAGTAGTAGATTAACTTGCATATATGATCATGCATAGCCATAACTTATACTAGCCAGGAAACATAGAGATGAAAGATATATATTGTCATGGAATGCTAGGACTTAATTGGCAGGTAATTTGCCGTACTTCAAATATTGGAGTCCATACAGTTTTGAAGTAATAAGACCGTGCAAGGAGATCGATAATTAACAAAAAAGAAAAGATAGGGAAAAGTCAGGCCATGGAAAACCTTTGGAAGCATGCTGACATCGACTCCATAATATTGTTTCACTTCAAACATCAACATCTACAAGAGCAAAAACCAAATTAAATGAAACGAAGAAGAAAAAAATTAATGCATTAACGTCCCCGAAGCCCCCACTTGACAGTGTGACCAGTCCACGTTGATGAGTTTAGCACTCAACGGACAGGCAAATTAACTGATGGTGGCACACAGCTGGGTGCATAATTTCTTCGGCAAATTCCTCATGGTTTGTATAAGATTTTGTTATTCAACTCTCTGAAACCTAGTTTTTTTTTTTTTTTTTTTTCAATGAAGGATGATGCATCATGATGGGTGGACATTCGTTCTACATACCAGATTTGTTACCTGTTTTTCTTTCAATTATATATATATATATGTTGCAAGGTAGGGAATGCTGGAATTCTAAGATTTTTGAAAGAAAAGAAAAGGGGACGAGGATATTACGCTAATTAAACTATAAACTCATTAATTAACAGCATAAACCATAGTTCAATTCTTAGTATTAATCGTATCAAAGACAAATGATCAGAGAGAATCGTCATCTTTTCTTAATGAGGTGTCAAATCTCATATTTAAACTTTGATAAGGAGGGGCCATTAAGATACATGCATCAAATATATTGCATGGTTTCTTGCCTTTTGGATTTTGGTTTGTTCAAAGTCGTCCTCATTTAACTACTCATTAATTCTAACCATAATACATTGCGTCTTCATTTTGATAGGTATATATAAACTTTGTATAATCCTCTTTTTGTTTAATAATTGTTTAATCCGGATATTTAAAAAAGTAGCAAGCAAATATATGTATCTGTTTTTTTCTTTCAAATAATTAGTCAATATATCCATATCATATTTTGGCTTTTTCTAAAGTTATGTCGAAACATGTTTCTCTATATAAAAAGCTTATTTCTTTCTTTATTCATCGCATGCAGTTGCCAGTATGAAATGGATTTAACATTTTATATAGGCGTGGCATTTCTAGACAATACCATGCAAACCTCTATGATCCATCAAATTTTTAGATATAGATCCATTCTATATATATATATATATATATATATATCCACTAGAGAAATTATTCAGTGTACTGCACTCTATTTTCTTATAAAAGATATAGAATTTTTTTATATATTATTTATCATGATATGTCTTTAATTTTTATATATAAATAAAATATAAATCCGAATATATGTTAGAAATCTTGATTATGTTAGATAATAAGTTAAGTGTGTCATCAAAGAAATTTAAAAATATTTTCAAGTGAGATTTTTATCCCACATTGGAAAGGAATAAAAAGAAGAGGCAACTTATAAAGTAAACCTCTAATAAAACTTTTAAATATTTGATTAAAGGAATTAGAGGAAAAACTAAGCTAATTGGTTGGAGATTAGCACTTAGCACCTCTAGAAATTTATTTTTATTTCTTAATATAATTAAATTATAATTATTTTTATTAATTACGTTTGACCTTATGATCGTTGCATTGTGACTATTAGAATTCAACAATTATGATTGTTAAAATTTAGTCGTTAATCAGTTAATTTCAACAATTATGTATGTTATGATAGAGTGTCGGTAATTTATAAATATGGAACTACTACACATGACAAAATCAATTTTTTCTTTATAATCTTCCTCTCCTCTCAAAATTCTTTTCCTTCTAAAACTCTACAACTTTAAGAAATATTCTCTTGAAGAAATTTCGAAGTACTTGTCTGGAGTTTCTTGTGTATATAAATTATATCGTAGATGTGAATTGTTAAAATCCTTATAGCATTATAGTAAAGAGAATAATCACTTTAAAAGACAATATGTAATATTTTTTACATGTAATTAAACATTATGTAATTTTGTTTTTCTTAAAGATCGTTTCAAGTTTTCCTAAGATATATCTAACAATTTCTCATATTGGATAGGTTACATAATCAATTTTTAACGTCAGTATATTGACATGCATGATTAAACTCGTGGAATCTAATGACCATCCCTCATTGTCTTGTGTGGCGGCCAATTTTGAAGGCCGAAATAAAAATGTCAATTGAAAGACAAAATTATTTAGCTATACCCAAATGTCTTACTCGTCATAAAGCTTTTTAAATTAATAAATAAATAAATCAATTAATTATAGCCGATCATTAGATATTGAATATTGGTGAATATATCCACCAATTATTCGAGCTATGGTTAAGGTGTAACATCAAAACAAATTGCAGTTATTAGTTATAATAAGTATCATCATTATAAGAAGGAGGGATATATACCTTTATTTGATGCTGCATTGTTACTTTCTCTTATCCTATAACTTGGTAGTTAAACCATGCCAAATTTCAAGGAATGACTTATTGGATTATATAGCTTCGATTGATATATATATATATATATATATGATAGACTAACTTATTTTCTACGTACATGCTGTCCAGCTAATCACAAAATGCGTGGAAAATCATTAAAAGAATAAACTATATTTTTAGTCCCTATAGTATCAACAATATTTGTTTGGACCCTTGTAGCTAATTTGTTCTTTTTTTAAAAAAAAAGTTTCAACATGTTCCTTTACCATTGAATAGCTAATGGTAGCTAAAAGAATTCGATTTTCTTTTTTAGTAAATTTTTTCCTCTTTTTTATATCCCCATCCCCCCTCCCCCCCAAAAAAAAAAAAAAAAATCATATAAATGAGTGATATCATTCGACAAAAACCCCATAATTTTTTTTTAAAAAATCTCAAAATAAAATGAAAAAATGAAAAGGGGTCTTGACATTAGCAATTTAAAAAAGGAAGGGATATATTGGAACTATTTGGAAACTCTAAGGTCGAGATTGGAAAATTTAACTTAAAGAGGCTTAAGTAGAATATTGGAAAGTCTATAGAGGGTTGGGTTATAGTTTATCCAAAAAAAAAAAAAAAAATTGCATGCTGTGTATTGTGTGTCTGCATTTATATTCGATAGAGGTTGTAGCATATCATATCCACATGTAAACTGTCATATCCAAATCATGTTATGTTATCCAAAAACAATGCATCAAGACAAAAGAAGCTTAAATTTTGCTATAATAATAATTAAAAAAAAAAAAAAACTCATGAGTTCTGTTGTAACTTACTAAGCGTCTATTAATTAGAGTTTGTCTCACCTATAGTTGAAAAATAGTTGCTCGTCTCTCTCTCTCTCTCTCTCTCAGTCACTCACACACACAAAATATATATATAAAGAAAGTATCTCGACTTGCATATACTTTCAATAGCATAGATGAAACAAAATTGTCTGCCACTTGCATTTTTCATCTTGTGAACTTTTATTAAATATGTTATTTTACCCAAGAAATATATATATATATATATATATATATATATATATATTTCCTTGGGTAAAATAACATATTTAATAAAAGTTCACAAGATGAAAAAAATGGCAAGTGAGCAGACAATTTCTTGTTTCATCTATGCTATTGGAAAGTATATGCAAGTCACGAGATTACTTTCTTTTTATTAGTCACTGCGCCCACCAAAGTAATATCACGATTCACGTGTTTGAAATCTATACAATAAGAAAGAGAGAAATATGAAGAGAAGAGAGAAATATAAAAGAAAGAATTAAAAAAATTAATTTTATGTGGAAATATTTTTATTATTTTTGATGGATTTAAATGTAATTTTTTTTTTTTTTTGTGCTGATATATTTTTCTTCCCAAAATGAATCTATGAAATAAATAATATTAACTATTTCTTGATTATTTTAAAATTTCTTACACGCATTGCTCTCAGTTTAAAAAAAAAAACTAAACTCAAAAAGGAAATAATATAAACATTGTAAAAATTAGCCATTTATATATATAATCAACTTGATCCTTACAGTTTGTGGTGCAGTCTTGAATGTTTTGGTGGAAGCACAAAATCACTTACTTTAATTTGTGCTTCCACAAAAAACATCGAATAATTTGCCTTAATTTATTTGAACAAAGATCAAGAATTTTTATTGGTTAAAAGATAATCTTAATTTCTATTGAATCACAATTCAGTCCCTCTAAGAATTTGAAGACCTTCAATTAAAAGTTAGTTTTATCTGTGACCATGACGTTCATGAATTGAAATAATTTCCAACATATTCCTTTAAAGACCATGAAGTTCATGAATTGAAATAATAAAAATTAATTAATTCTGAAACTAATATTATTATAGGTTATGAAAAGCTACGTTACTTATTTAATAAATACAACCTGTCTCTGTGATGAAATTCTTTCATGTCAAAGAGAAGAAAAAAAGAAAGAACAACTGGGGATATCAACATTCTACAGTTAGTGCGGCTAACGTGACACTACATATGAAGATATTATCATGTGAGAGAGATTCTCTGATCCGTGACCTCAGCTATCGAATATTATAGAGTTTAGTTTCATTTCATTGGTCATCTAGGTCGTGGCTAATTTTGTTTAAAATAGTATCCCTGAGTCGTCGAATTGAGCTTAGCCATTAGCGACCATGAAAGGGGCAACTGCGTGCTCTACTAACCAACTCACACACACAATCCTTCTACGCACTGTTTTTGTGTTTAGCTGGTCATTTGTTATAACTTCTTGACGTGGAAACCTAATCAACAAATATTTAACCAATTCTCTCGCGTTCAAAACGCAACCTTCCTCTATATAAACCTCCTCCTCTTAACCTATACTACAACAACAACACAACATCACATATTTAGCCCAATATGGCTGGCAAAAGCAACACACTCTTGTTTCTTTCATTTCTCTTGCTTCTTCTTTGCTTATCCAATCACAAAGTAGAGTCCCGGGCACCTTTCGCTTGTGACCCAAAAAATGGGCTAACAAGAAACTTAAAGTTCTGTAGGGTTAAGGTACCAATGCATGTGAGAGTGAGGGATTTGATTGGTAGGTTGACTTTGCAGGAGAAGATTAGGCTGTTAGTCAACAATGCTGCTGCCGTCCCTAGGCTTGGCATTCAAGGATATGAATGGTGGTCGGAGGCTCTTCATGGTGTGTCCAATGTGGGACCAGGGACCAAGTTTGGCGGGGCCTTTCCAGGGGCCACCAGCTTCCCTCAAGTCATCACCACTGCTGCTTCCTTCAATGCGTCTTTGTGGGAGGAAATCGGACGGGTGAGAATCCTTGAAATTGTCGTTTTTTACTATTTCTCATATTATATTGCTTCTTGGTATATACAGTTTTTTTTTTTTTTTTTTACCAGCAAGTTCACTCTAATTTCTATTGAGGAATGCTAGTACCACTTAACAACATGAACCTAATCGCATCCGTACCCCCTCTTCTCAAAAAGTCACATCTCAAGCCTTATCTCTCGCGTACAACCAAAACAATGTGTGTTCAGCATCGATCTACAAATGTTATTACTTCGAAATCCGAATCTTGAACTTGCTAGCTTACACACAAACATTTTACTACTACTTTTTTTTAAAACAATATTTTAAGGCTATTTCTTTTTTAAACAATACTACTAGAAAAGTTTGTTTTTATTTCTTTGACACCAATATCTATGGCCTTGAAATTATATATATATATATATATAAAAAAAAGACATGACAACAAGAAAAAACAAAAAGCTTAGTTAAGCTATTTTTGGCTACCACTATTGCATCCGTGTAAAGGGAGAGCGACTTTAGCATGGGCAGCTTGCACATCCCATGCCTAATGTGCACTACACTCCCTTGCTCCACTTCTCCCTTCGCAGCTTTTGCCTTTATTTAATTATATAGGAGTAGTAAAAGTGTTAAAACTGTTTAAAAGGGCTGTCTGGCCGTTCATTTTGGTTCTAGAAGTAGGCGGCCGGGGCTAAAGCCAATATGCAAGCATCTAGTAAATTAATTTTCAATCGAGTTCGGTTAAGAATGATGGAGAAAAAAGAATCTACTCTCACTAGCCAAGTCACAAAGTGCATAATATATAGTATGGAGGGCAACTTGCCTAACTTTCTCTTAGCTTGGAATTAGCCCATGAAAACTCCACGACACCAATTAACTTAGCCCTGTCCCTCTATCTATGATGATGCTTCCATTGGAAATACATATGCTGCTATAAATAGTTTTTATATACTTTTTTTTACAAAGTTATCAGCATGTAATGAGCTTGTGAACTGTGAAGCGCATGTCTCTTACGGTAAGGTTTTCTTTATTTTTATTTTTTCCCGTAAGTCAAATTTATACAACTTGCTACTTAGAAATTAAATCATTTTCAATCAAATCAATCATTGAAAATAATACCAATAAGAATAAGACATGGTTATAATATTTTTAATGCATTGGGCCCATCACGAATAAAATAATGCGTGATTGTTACCCGTCCGATTGAGGCGAGCTTTCAAATTTTTTTTGCGTACACAATTCAGTGACTCCTAGCTATGAGTCCCAATATGCCTCCAGGAGGGAATCTCTAATCTCATATATAAATCTCACCTAATCTTTTTTAATGGAAATGTTTAAGAAATTTTTAAATACGGAATCTTTGGCCTTTTCTTCCTTGGATCGAATTGTCACATTAGTACTTTTCATGGATGGTATAAATAAGTAGTGGTAAGACTTTTATTTATTTATTTTAATAAATGAAAGATTCGAATTAAAAACTTAATTGGAAGAAGAAAAACACTAATTTCAGTTTTGCTATAATTCATTAATAAGTAGCAATAGTATTTATTTACTTATGTGAACTGTGAAATGCTTTAACGAGTATAATGGTGGTGATATATAGTTAATTAAATTGCAATATTTTTAATTCAAGCATTAATTTGCTCAGAATGTCTTAAGGTCCACATTTAACCATTATTTGAAAATGATAATCTGTCAGAACCTTGAAGAAATTAGTACTATGCATGCCATCTTTGTCTAATAAAAAACAATCATTTGAGCCATTGAGCAATTGGGATTTTGCAGAAAATAATGTAATGAGTATAAGATATTATCTTCCAGGTAGTGTCTGACGAAGCAAGGGCAATGTACAATGGAGGGATGGCTGGCTTGACTTATTGGAGTCCAAATGTTAATGTGTTCCGTGACCCCAGGTGGGGTAGAGGGCAGGAAACTCCAGGCGAAGACCCAGTTTTAGCAGGGAAATATGCTGCCAGCTACGTTAGGGGACTCCAAGGTAACAATGGCCTCAGACTAAAAGTCGCTGCCTGTTGCAAACACTACACCGCCTATGATCTTGATAATTGGAACGGGGTGGATCGGTACCACTTCAATGCTAGAGTAAGCCATTTTTAACTTGAAGTGCTAGCTCTGCCTCAAAGTTATTGATTTGCAAAATTGTTCAGTATTTAATCATCACTGTCTTTGATTTGGCCATTTAATTACCTCATTTAGGACAAGTTTTAGTTCAATGAGTAGTTCTAATTATTTACCTATGCAAACAGTTAATTTCCATGTGCAAGGTATGACAACGATTTCTAAATTGCTTGCACGAAACAAGGAGATTGGTAATACAGTTTAGTCACTTGACTAGGACCACTCTATAAGCATGGGTGACAGTAGTATGGAAGCTAATTTGTTTTTTTTTTAGCAAACATAGACATCACGGGCACAACTTAGCTGTGAATTTGGCTTTGCTTCCATAATTAGAACACTCAAAGCGTTATCTGTGAGATCAGTTGGAATTTCTGTCTTCCCTTTTTTGATTTTCAGTAGTTGAAATTGTTTGTCATGACTCTTAAATGAGGCTTTTGCTGACCTTGATTGCTATCCTCAGAATGATCAAATGGACATGACATTATGGTTGCAATGTGATGTTGACCATTGATTGTTTTTAACATTAACCAGTGCAACAAATCTATCGTAAATAAAATGGGCCTCTTAATGAGCCGAAACAGGAACAAAATTATATCTGCAATTTGCTAAACAGTCGATTAAAATTATGGGTATCGAGTGCGATTGCTGAACTGAATTCATGAGTCCTAACTTTTCTATGGTAATTTGTGTAGGTAAGCAAGCAAGACTTGGCAGACACGTATAATGTGCCATTTAAGTCCTGTGTGGTGGAAGGAAAGGTGGCCAGTGTAATGTGCTCTTACAATCAAGTCAATGGAAAGCCCACTTGTGCTGATCCTGACCTCCTTAGAAATACCATCCGTGGGCAATGGAGACTGAATGGGTGAGTCTCCTCACCTTAGACTTCTAGATTATGTAAAACTGTAGCGAATGGTTTTGTGATTTTGAACTAAATCTGTTGATGGGCCTAAACAGATACATAGTATCAGACTGTGACTCAGTTGGGGTCATATATGAAAACCAACACTACACTATCACACCGGAAGAAGCAGCCGCAGCTACTATTCGAGCAGGCCTAGATTTGGACTGTGGCCCATTCTTGGCCATCCACACCGAAAACGCTGTAAAGGGTCGATTGCTGAACGAAGAAGATGTAAACATGGCCTTAGCCAATACATTAACGGTCCAAATGAGACTAGGCATGTTTGATGGAGAGCCATCAGCCCAGCCATTTGGTAAATTGGGCCCAAGAGATGTTTGCACTCCAGCTCACCAACAGTTGGCCCTCCAGGCTGCCAGACAAGGCATTGTTTTGCTTCAAAATTCCAGGCGGACCTTGCCTTTGTCCAGAACCCATCGTACTGTAGCAGTAATTGGGCCCAATTCGGATGTTACTGTTACCATGATTGGAAATTATGCTGGTATGTCCAAGATTTGCATTTTTATTTTAAGTATTCGATTATCCCGCGTTGTTGTGGTTTATTATATAAAATTTAAAAATTATAGTTTTAATTCAACAAATTGATGTGATTCACTATTTATAATTAAAAAAAGAAACATAAAATTTGCATACTATAAAAAATTAGGGAAAAAAATTGCACTAAATTGTGTATTAAATAAAATTTATAAAGAAAAAGAGAAGTAGAAAAAAGAGAGCATATCTCAGATTGAGAAAATGAGAGTTATAAATTGAGAATAAATTCTAAATAGGTAATTTATTAGTAGAATTATTTTTATTATGGGAGTTTGTGGTTAATAATAATATTTGTATAATTAATTTGATTTTTGATCAAATACTAATTTGTTATTAATCTTGATAATATCAAGTAAAAAAATAAAAACCATTCACATATTATGTGTGTGTGAAGATGGCTTATCAAATTTGAAGTTCATTTCATAAGAGAGAATTTTAATCATTGCCTTGTGATGCAGGTGTTGCATGTGGGTATACCACTCCTCTTCAAGGGATTAGTAGATATGCTAGGACCATTCACCAATCTGGATGCATTAACGTGGCCTGCAATGGGAACCAACAATTTGGCGCGGCTGAGGCTGCAGCCAGGCAGGCCGATGCAACTGTTCTTGTAATGGGACTTGATCAATCTATAGAAGCAGAATTTAGGGATAGGAAAGGGCTTCTCTTACCTGGACACCAACAAGAACTTGTATCAAGGGTGGCTAGGGCATCGAGAGGTCCTACCATATTGGTGCTGATGAGTGGTGGTCCAATCGATGTCTCCTTTGCTAAGAACGATCCTCGTATTGGTGCTATATTATGGGCTGGATATCCTGGACAAGCTGGTGGTGCTGCCATTGCTGATGTTCTGTTCGGAACAACTAATCCAGGTATATATGTGTGTTAGATATATCTCCGAGTTGATTGTAATAATAAACTAATAGTAATTAATATTTGCTTTTGTGGCCTTGATCATTGAAGATTAAAGATGAGTACTAATATACTTGTAAGTATGTTTTCCAGGTGGTAAGCTGCCAATGACATGGTATCCACAAGACTACCTTGCTAAGGTGCCAATGACAAACATGGGAATGAGAGCAAACCCATCGAGAGGTTATCCTGGTAGAACCTACCGATTCTATAAGGGGCCTGTTGTGTTCCCCTTTGGCCATGGAATGAGCTACACCAACTTTGCTCACGCTTTAGCCCAAGCTCCACAAGAGGTTTCCGTACCACTTACAAGTCTGTCTGCCTTGCGAAACACTACCAGTGCAAGCAACGGAATCAGGGTCTTGCACGCAAATTGCGAGACACCCGCATTAGGTGTTCATATTGATGTGAAGAACACTGGAAACATGGATGGAACTCACACACTTCTGGTGTTCTCTAGTCCACCAGAAGGAAAATGGTCGACAAACAAGCAATTGATTGGTTTTGAGAAGGTTGATTTAGTAGCAGGATCTGAAAAACGAGTCAAGATTGACATTCATGTGTGTAAGCACTTGAGTGTGGTGGACCGATTCGGAATTCGAAGGATTCCAATTGGTAAACATGATCTTCACATTGGAGATCTCAAGCATTCTATTTCACTCCAAGCAAATTTGGAAGAGATCAAATCCTAATGCCAACAACTGTAAGATACATACACAGAACAGATAGGTATTGTGAGTATCGGTACTCTGTGATGCAAATAGGAATTGATTATAAGTTTGCAAAAAAAAAAAAAAAAAAAAATTCCGAGTGAAACAAAATTGGTCAAGGCAATCCAATAAAGTTACCGGCTAAAAAAATCGCTGGGTTGTACTTTTCTTGTTCCTAGCAGCATGCAACTACATACATGTATGATTATAATTTATTGTAACTCGTGCCTAGAAAAATATGATGTGCTAGTCTCTGTTAAAAGGAGGGTGGTTTTCAATATTTTGACTACGTCGTCTTTCTCCCTCTTTTTTCTTTTAATAGTCTGGTCAGATGTTGCTCCATTGCAAAATCCCACCCGCTTTTCTTGTGTAGCATCATTTACTATGTTTCTGTGGAGGCCTTGTTTCGTAATCAAATTGGCATTGATTTTATGCCCAATCTCAAATTGCACCAATTTCTACATCATTCGAATATGCTAGCAGTACCTTTTTTTTTTTTTTTTCCTGATACCTATTTGGACAACTTGTTAGAAAGAACTTTGAAATTCCCATCGAATGGAGACATAGGAATGGAACAGGTTGGGGGGCAGTTGGACAAGTACTTTAGATTCATCTATCAAAAATTGGCAGAAAAATATGATGAGTGAAAACAGCTCCTTTTTGGGTAAACTTCAATTTTACCCCATGTTTTTTTTTTTTTTTTTGTTGAGATAAATAAAAATTCTCATGCATGGAATCTTAAGTATTTGCAGTTATATTATGACAGGAACAACACACAGGAAATGGTGATCTCAGTTGCTTGAGATCCCCACTGTCTTTTTGGCGATCCAGATTTTGCAACTTCTTTATCCATAATACGCTTTAAAAATATCATGGTCAAACATGATTTTCTAACAACTTGTAATAATTGCAGCTAAATTTTCAGTCCACGTTGTATTGGATACCCTACCATGACATGTTTTGGACTGAAAATTCTCAGCAAGTTGGATTTGTAAATGTTTTTGACGAAATTTATTACAAATATTTAACACCATGCGAAGTTAAAATAAAAAACTGAAGAAATAAAGATGCTGCAACTGTTTGAATGAAAACTGTTGAAAGATTACATATTTTCACAGTTTAAATTTAATAAATGAGGTTGCTAAATCTTTAAGAGTTAGTAACATTAAATATATAGATAAACCTGGCTGTTATATATGTTGACGAACAGAAAGATTGGTTTTGATTTTCATCCAAGACGACAAAACTGATAACATTTAATGAGAACAGTATAATAAAGTGATACAAATTATTTAGATTTCTCTCTAATTAAGAGTACCTCCTTTCATTTTTAAGTAAATTTTAAAAAGATTACGGCAGTGGGGGAATTTTAACCTAAAGTACAAATAAATAAATACAATCTCAAATAAAAAAATACCAAATAATTAAGTATTAAATAAATCATTTTAAACATCTTGTTGTTTGAGTATGATGATTATTTATCCTTTCTGTTTTTGTAAATTACACTTCACAATTTAAATATATGCCTATGAACAGTGAAAAAGCTAAAATATTTTCATATCTATATAAATAAACAATTTTTAATATCAATTTATTAAGTATAATATTCACGATTTTCATCTAATTCTCTCTCATCTCTTTTTAATTTAGTTCGTCGTTTTTTTTTTAAAAAAAAGAGAGATAGTTTAAAAACTCTTTTTTTGTTTTAATAAAAACTAGTTTTTTTGGATCTTTTGTTGATTGAAAATTGTTGCGAGAGTTTTACGTTGATTCGAAAAGGAATCAAAGTTAAATATTAGGTACGTGAAACCTTAATCCCAATTTTTTTTTTTAATTGATTGTTTATGCTGGGAATGTAAGAAAAAACTGCTACCAATTTCATTTGCTTGTGATTTCTTTAGGCCTTTTTGTTCTGTTTGATTCTCAATTGTTTCTTTAATACGGTGTCTGGTGTTGTTGTTTCAGTAATGAACAGCATAAAGCGTTAATTAATTACCATCATGAACTTGGAGAATGCGATTGAACTTATAAACTGTAGTTATCATACGGTTTTCGGGGTGTTCTGGTCCGGAGAACCAGTCACATGGCTCCTTGGGTCGCTCAGAATTTTACTGGACCACTTCGAGAAAAAGAATTAGGCTGTAGTCAAGTGGAATTTCATTTAATTGGATGAAATTGATGGTTCTGTATTAAAACATAATATAAAAATATTTTTTAAACTTCATATAGTTTTGTTCAATTAGGCAGTGTTATGCAATTGAGAATTTTCGGGTCTTGTATAGCTTTATTAAATCGGTTAGTTTTGTTTTTTTAAACATAAGTGTTTTCAAATTATATTTTTATTATTATAAAAATTTAATAACAAACTTGTAATAATTTGAACGTATTTTTTTTATCAAAATTTTAATTTTATTAGTAGAATAAAAATACATAATGTTTTCTAAACTAATATTTAAATTTTTATAATATAAAATGAAAATAAAAGATATAAAGCTTTCAAAGCACATAATATTTAAGGTAATTTACCCTTAAATATTTATAAGAAATGAGGAAATAAATAAATTAGCACAAAAAACGTGGTTGATGAATAGAAGTGTCGGTAACAGAGGATGTGTTGTAGAATGAGAACGTAGGGTGTTGGGATTGCGATCCATCTATGTTGATGTTGATATCCTAACTGTTCAAACCATAGCTTAATTTCTTTGATATTTAAATGCTGCTGGCCAAAAATAATTAAAAAATAAAAAAATTCTGGGATAAGATGCATATATACTTGTGAATGTATATACCGAGAAAAAAAAATTATATGCATAAGTTACATAAAAGATTCTTATACAAATGTAGTTGTCCACCAGCCTTGAACCTTATTTCCACCCACCACCACTCCTCTTCCTCCTCACATTGGAGTCTTATCAGTTAACTTTTTCTTTCCAAGTTTGCTTCCGATACTTCATAATTGTATATATCTATTATCTACCCTTTTCTCTTTTCTTTTACTTTTTCAATTTTGGAGTTAATTTAATTTTTCTTTTTACTTATAATCATCATTTATTTATCTTCCCTCGCCCATATTGTATATTCTTATCTCACCTTCTCACTCAAAACCAATCCCGTTCTCTCTCTCTCTCTCTCTCTCTCTATCCGTTAGCCCTTTTGTTTTTCTTTAACGTCTCTCTCCTTTCTTTCTTGCATCTCTTCCTTTTCTCTGCTGCAAGGTAATGAAAAGATCCCTCTCCTATCTCTTCCTCTCTTGCTCTGACACGCTCGCGAGCGCGCACATACATATGTACACGCTTTCTTTTTGGTTTTGAGTACTGTAGCCCTTGTGTATATAAAGGGTTCATTTCTTGGCCATTTTATTACTTGTGTTTCTTTGGTTGTTAAAAGAGTCTTGGTATCCTTCTCTTCGATCTTTTCTCTCACTCTCAATTCTAAGGGTCGATTTTGTCCTTGGAAGTTTTTGTTTTGATTGTTTTGTTCGATTAATGGATAACAGGAGAGGAGAGATGGCAGATTGCAACAGAAATGAAGACTTTTATGGTTCTCAAGACATTGAGGTACGTACAGCAGAGACCCGATTATTAGTGCCAATTTTTTTCTTTTTGTTTTTTTAGGAAATCAAAACTATATATTTTATTTATGAGAAAAATAAGAGAAGACTTATATATATATATATATATTGGAAGCATGCATCATGTGAGGTAACCATAAAATTTTGTGGTGTTGGGCGTATGGGACCCAACAAACTCACCGGTCGAGCTGGTTTAATGTGATATAGAGCTGCGGCCACCTCTATGATTTTGACGACGAATTCAAAATCTACTAGGAATAAATAGTTTAGGGCCTAATATAATTAATTGCACGCATTCGAAGGTCCTCATTGCATGACCAAAATGCACCTCATGAGTAACGTGTTCCTCCCTTGACGTGCAAATCTTGAAGAAAATTTAATCCTAGTTACGCGTGTCGTCTCACTGGTTGAAACTGAATAATCTTGACAAGTATAAATATGTGTAAATGCTGAGAATTTTGATTAAAAAAATCTTAATATACAAAATTTTATCTTAATGAGTATTATTTACTCATTATATTTATTTAATATAAGATATGTATTAATTAGCAAAAAGCATACCAATTCTCAACTTTAGATGGAAATCTATATCATTTATTAATTAGATTTGGTGCTATATTATGCACTGATTTAATTTGATGGTGTTACCATTTTTTTTTTTAAATCATCCCAGATATGGGCCCAATTATCACCGATGTTTTTCAAGTTGGGCCCAAAAGGGTGGTAAATGAATAATCTCTTGACCGTAGATAATAATTTTTCTTGGGGTAACATGAGCATGTGATACTCATAACGATCATGGCAATGTTTGTGGTCCCTACATGTAACGGCTATTAATATGGCATGACATCCACTTAGTTGCAAAATGCTGACATCACTGACATTCTTTGAGGGGTCGGCAAAATGTACGATCGTAGTTGCCACAGTACCATACAGTATAACATCAGATTTTACCCAGTAGACTCCTTTTTCGGTAGTCTGTTGTGTTCAATCATAGTCATATGAATTGGTTCGGCCATTTTGGTAGTTGCCACTTGCCGCTGTCTGCGGTAATTGTTTTACATTTGGGTAACTTGTGGAAGTTTCTAGTATTTTGTAACTCGAAATCTTGGGACTATTACTGCATAGACACTCTTTAGATGCTGTTTTGAACGGTCAATCTATTTGCTTTTCATGATGGGTCTCAAAATATTTGAATCCATCAAGTAAAAATTGTAAGGGTAAATTTTCTCTCAACTTTAACTCGTTTAAGAATCTGCTTTTAAATTTTAAATTAAATATTTTAAATTATTTAATTTTATTTTTCGTTTGAAATTACCCAATTTTATTAGCTTTTTATTAATTTTAATATGCATATGATTGACTTTTTTAACTTCTTTTTTCCTAATGATTAAAGATGTGTCGAAACTTA